GGGTGGAGGGGGGGGGGGGGGGGGGGGGGGTGGGGTGTGGGTGTGGATAAATGTAGGACATAATACCTAGACGCACATATCCCGACCCACACCCACATCCTTATCTATTTTCGGTATATTTTTTATGGCTAAGCACGAAGTGATAAAAAAATTCCTATGATTTTATGAATCATCGAAATTGATCAGGTGCAAAGAGATGTTCGTAGTCGTAATTTCGATGAAATTGAAGAAACAGATAAAGAAGAAGGATTTGCTCATAGACATCAACACCAAATCATCAAACTGACCATTCTAGAATTCGATCGGATCAACTTCGGGCTTATTTGATCTTAAAAACAACGACCAACTGTCAAGAATTAATAAAATTAATTTCTTTTGTTTATTCTATTCCTTGTTCTAATACTTTTATAGAAGATGAATTTAATCATATGAAGCATGCATGGACACCTAATCAAAATTCAATACTAGTTGAAACTATTGCTGCTGAACTACAAATAAGATTGAATTGCCAGATGAAGTGTAATGAATGTTTTTTAGTTGTATAAAATGAGCCTGAATTAATTAAATTTGTTCGACGTACAGAAAAACATAACTTTACGAATAGGCCTTTGCTCTACCAGATACAATGTCGAGCATGTATTAATGTACAATTTTGTATTTCTTTTTATTGATTATATTGTTTTCAATTTTAAAGGTATTGCAACGATTTTAGAGCTTGTTCCACACCACAATTAGAAGAAGAAGAAGAATACCCTTGCCTTTCGGCTACCTTTCAGTATAGGGTGCTGTCCAAGGACAGTTTCGAAAGCCCGATGTTTTTCCTACAACTATTACTAGCTGCAGCTCTGGACAGAAGGTCAGCCTGACTCAGAGTTTCTCTCGCTTAATCACTTATGCTCCCCATGCATACTGACTAACCACATACTAGTCACATGGACTTTTTATGTATGTCACATGTAGTCAGCGCACCACAATTAATTTGTTCTTCCTCGTCTACTATTTATATACTCAGCGTAGAACGTGAGAGGAACAGAATAGATATCATAGCGAGAAAAAGAGCGAACATTGAACATTGATCAGAATAAAAGCGTGCGCAAGACTAATTAAAGATATGTGCTTATATAACTAGGAAAGATAAACTGAACACGATGAGACACAGCAGATGACACAGTTATTGGTATTATATGAATGTATAAGAAGAAAGAGTAATATATACAATAACAGCTGATGATGTGATAAAGCTAGACAGCATATAGAAACAATCAGCCCACACAACAGTGACAGTATATAATGATACGTAATAGACTCATTCGAGAGTGTTACAGGTATGAATTAACTAGCATAATGCTTACTGAGAGAAAACGAACAATACAGCTAGTCCAATTATAAAAATGGTGAAATATTGTGTTGTTTCCTACAAAAGAAGTTTTATTTCATCGGTTTTCTCAATTAAATCCTTTATTTTAGGATACAGATAATGTACTCCGTTTGGACTTTCATAAACCACATTGGAAAAATGAGAAATGCCAGCCCTGTATCGGTAATATAGCATTAGGTGCTTGAAGAGCGACAAGACCAAAAATATTTGATTCTTCATTTGAAAATCGAGCTCCATAGTCTAATGTCGTTGGAGCATTTATCAATGGAAAACTACCCATGCTATTAAGTGAAGCAAGTACGGCTTGATGAGAAGCAGTAAGACGATCACAAAGTTCTTGTACACCAGCGTCATTGATCATATATTCGACCGAAGGAATAACCTATATGATTTTAGCAACATTAAACTATTCTTCAACATATGATCGTGTTCAGGGGTGTCAGCGTTCCCCGTTCCTCAGCGTTCCGTTCCTAAGAACGGGAACGCATCTCAAAATCGAATTTTCCAGCTTATTTCAAGATGGTGAGGCATCTAGATGTGTTTGCTTTTA